AAAGGTTCTGGGTTCGAGTCACGGTCTCCTCGCATTGCATAGGCGAGGGTAAGGCTCGCCACTGACACCTTTTCCCAGACCCCACACAGAGTGGAAGCTCTGCAATGGGTACGCCTTTTCTTAACGAAAAACAGGCTTCAAAGCCTGATCGAGAAAAAAAGTAATGAATTGTTGTTCAAAGTTTCGACTACTACAAGCCTGGCCGTGGCAAATTAATGGCCGCCAGCCCCCAAGTCGGGAAAACAACCACGAATCCCAGTGATTTCCGGCAGTGAAGAAACAAGTGTCGGATCCTTCTTTTTCATGCGAAATACGCACCGGTCGTGGAGATTAACACGATCGTGGCTGGGTCGGGACTCGGGAGGCACGGGTAATTGTCTAATTGAAGGACATCACGATCAGTAACCTTACAGGATAACTTGAACGGCGACAGCTTGTATTGATGGCTGCTGCAATCTGATTATACAAAACAAAAAACACCGAACCAAACAGCATCACATTTTACTGCTGCTGCTAGATGATTGAACCATGCTTAGTTTGGTCACAAGTCACAACCGTAGGATGGGGACGCTGGCATGGCATCTAATTTGGTCTTTTAGGGCGCGTTTGGTTCTCGTTTCAGAGCAGCCTGGCTCGTCTCCTAGAGCCAAGCGCTGAGCAGCCAGGACGTGCGCATGCAACCACAGCTTGATTGGTTGGCTACAGCCGGAGAACATGGCCCGTTGCAGACTTTGAGGTTGGCAGATCCTGTGCTACCGCCCTACATGCGCGTGACCGAGCAGAGCCAGCAGAAGACGCCCACGCTGCAACCGCACCGGCCAGGCTCTCGAGAAACGAGTTCTGATTTCATTTCCCGGGAGCCAGGCCAGGGAGGCCGTTTTGCACCGGTGGAGCCAGGCCCAGGTAGCCATCCGGGCAACCAATCAGCCCAAGTCTGCATCCCACGGGCCTGGTCAAGCCAGGGAACCAAACGTGCCCTTAGAGCAGTCAGCGGCTAGTGATGAGATTGATTCTATGCCCACTGCCTTGCAGCAGCAGCAGCATATTTCACAGCCACTTGCCCATTTGGCTGGTTCCATTCGAGCATATCCTACTGCCACCAGCTTGTCCGTCTGCTATGCTCATCAGCATCTCATCTTTTTGGGCAACGTACTCAACCGGGTCGGATGGCCATGGACCAGACCATGGGTAAATAAACAGAACTAGTTGTTATTCGTATTTGTTTTGAGTTGAAACGCTCAAGCTCAACATGTAAATGCTTGAATGGAGCAGTGATAATGTTATGACCGGCTTCCAATATGCCATCCGGCCGAGCACCTCGCCCTTCTCCGCACCGGTGTTGTTGGTCCGCAAGGCGGACGCGTCTTGGCGTTTCTGCATCGACTACCGCGCCCTCAACGCCAAGACGTCCAAGGACAAGTTTCCGATCCCGGTGGTGGACGAGCTCCTCGACGAGCTCCATGGGGCTCGCTTCTTCACTAAGCTCGACTTGCGGTCGGGCTACCACCAAAGCGGATGCACCCGACGACTTATCGCCAAGGCGCCTTCCGCACGCACCATGGCCACTACGAGTTCCTGGTCATGCCGTTCGGGGCTCTCAACGCAGCAAGCAGCGTTCGGCGCCGATGAACGACGCGTGCGCCGCCCCTACTGCGGAGGTTTGTGCTGGTTTTCTTCGACGACATTCTCATCTGACTTCGTCGTGGCGGAGCATCTGCAGCACATCGCCATCGTCCTCAACGAGCTTCGGGCGCACCACCTCCACCTCAAGCGCTCGAAGTGCTCGTTCGGGGCCACGTCAGTGGCCTACCTGGGTCACGTCATCTCCGCTGACGGAGTCGCTATGGACGCCGACAAGGTGGCCGCAGTCACGGCATGGCCACCTCCACGCTCGGCCCAGGGACTTCGTGGCTTCCTAGGCTTGGCGGGCTACTACCGGAAGTTCATCCGGGAGTTCGGGCTCATCGCGGCTCCCCTGACACGTCTCTTGCGGCGAGACGCGTTCGACTGGGACACGGAGGCTGCGGAGGCCTTCCAGGCGCTCAAGCGCGCCCTCACCACCGGGCCCGTGCTCCAGATGCCCGACTTCGACAAGTTGTTCATGGTGGACTGCAACGCTTCGGGTGTGGGGTTCGGCGCTGTCCTTCACCAGGGCGCCGGACCTCTCGCCTTCTTCAGCCGCCCGTTCGCGGCTCGACATCTCAAGATTGCAGCTTACGAGCGCGAGCTCATCGGTTTGGTGCAGGCCGTGCGCCACTGGCGGCCATACCTTTGGGGACGGCACTTTCTTATTCGCACTGACCATTACAGTTTAAAGTTTCTCTTGGATCAGCGCTTGTCCACCGTGCCTCAGCATCAGTGGATCAGCAAACTCTTCGGCTTCGACTTCACGGTGGAGTACCGTCCCGGCCGCCTCAACACCGTGGCGGACGCCTTGTCTCGCCGCCGACCGCAGGCGGGAGGTTGGCAAGACGCGGGGGGCAGCGTGTGCTCTCTCGGGCCCCTCTTTCGCCTTCCTCGATGGCGGCGCGCGCGCGCCACCGTGGAGGCCGAGGGCGCCAAAGCACTGCTCCCGGTACCGGCAGCCGGTGGCTGGGCCCCTGGGCGCTGGATGGTGGGTTCTTTGCTTCATGGCGCGAGGATCTTAAATCCCCGACCACGGCGACTGCCGCGCCCCAGCGCCTGGCCGCTCACTCGGCCGGCCATGAGGGTGTCCAAAAAACGCTCCACCGCTTGCGCACCGACTTCTACATCCCGGGCGATCGTGCGCTGGTACAGGACTGGGTGCGCCGTTGCAGTACCTGTCAGCGCAACAAGACGGAGACGTTGCGGCCAGCCGGCCTGCTGCAACCGCTGGAGGTGCCCTCCCAACTGTGGGCGGACATTTCCATGGACTTCATCGAGGGGCTGCCCAAGGTGGGCAGCAAATCCGTCATTCTTACGGTGGTCGACCGCTTCTCCAAGTACGCGCACTTCATCGCGCTCGGCCACCCCTACACCGCCGCGTCCGTCGCCCGCGCCTTCTTCGACGGCATCGTCCGGTTGCACGGGTTCCCCTCCTCCATCGTCAGCGACAGGGACCCGGTGTTCACCGGGAATGTTTGGCGCGACCTCTTCCGATGCGCCGGCATCAAGCTGCGCTTGAGCACGGCTTTCCACCCCCAGACTGACGGCCAGTCCGAGGTGGTTAACAAGGTGATCGCCATGTATCTTCGATGTATCACAGGTGATCGTCCGCGCGCATGGGTGGATTGGCTGTCTTGGGCCGAGTACTGCTACAACACTTCGTTCCACACGGCCCTGCGCGCCACGCCATTCGAGGTGGTCTACGGTCGCCCTCCGCCGCCCATCCTGCCGTATCAGCCGGGGTCGGCCCGTTCCGAGGCCGCCGCGACGCTTCTCCGAGACCGGGACATGATCTTGGCCGAGGTGCGTCAGCGCCTTCTCCAGGCGCAGGAGCTGTCTAAGAGGTACTACAACGCCGGGCACCGCGACGTGGAGTTTGCGGTCGGGGATTGGGTTTATCTGCGCCTGCTCCACCGGACGGCTCAGTCCCTTGACCCTCGGGCGAAGCGCAAGCTCGGTCCGAAGTTTGCCGGTCCGTTCCGTGTTCTGGAACGCATCGGTTCCGTCGCCTACCGCCTGCAGCTTCCGGAGGGCGCACGGCTTCACGACGTCTTCCACGTGGGGCTGCTCAAGCCCCACCGCGGCGACCCTCCTGCAGCAGCCGGCGAGCTGCCCCCGGTCCTCGACGGCCGGCATCTTCATGTTCCAGAGCGCGTCCTTCAGGCTCAGCAGCGTCGCGGTGAGTGGCGCCTGCTGGTCAAGTGGCAAGGCCTTTCCGACGACGACGCCACTTGGGAGTCTCTTCCAGAGTTCCGCGACCAGTTTCCCGACTTCCAGCTCGAGGACGAGCTGTTTGTGCAGGCGGGGAGAGATGTTATGACCGGCTTCCAATATGCCAGGAGGAGGCCCATTAGTGGGTAGATGAGGCGTAGGAGCTAGGGGCTAAAAGCCCATATTTATCTTTAATTATTTATTTCCATAATTAGTACACCAATTAGCCATATATAGGAGTTGTAATTCCCATGGACAGAGTTAAGCAAAGAGTAATCATATTACTCAGCTTTCCTCAGGGAGCCGGGAGTTCCGGAACCCTAGCCGCCATCTCTCTCTCTCTCTCGTCGTGCGATCACGGCGCCTCGCCGCCGTACGACGTTCAAGCCCCGACCACCGATCTCTCACAGCTACAACCTCCGATCGACAAGGCACAGAGAGCAGCTGCCTATCAGATAAGCACAGATCCCTGTTGCAATGGATAGAATGATTGATGAACTGTTGAGTGGAAGCTTCTGTCTGCTGCCCTGTTGATTTATGCCTACCGTTCATGTGCATGTCCTGTTTGGCTGATTGTTACTCTTCCATTTATGAGTATCAGTTGGTGGTTATGTCCTGTCTGTCCTTCAATGCCTCTCTATGTCCAAGCAGTTTGCTGCTAACTGATGCACACTACTGTCACTGCATAGTGAATTATCAATGCCTCCTCATTTTCTCATAGACCTTTTCTGAATGAACAACAAAAATATATCAATATCTTCAAAATGGTCCATCCGTGAATGAAAGGGGCTTTGAAACATAGGAATTTCATAGAAACTATACATGATTAATCAATTTGTTTTTATAGAAAAAAACACAAGAAATAGAGAAAGTTCCATATTCCAAAGGGCCTTAAGTTAGCAACACTAACAATTTGGGTTCTTTTCCTAACTTATTATTACTGACATTTTCTTTTAAAATCTAGAAATTTATTCCAAGGATCTGTCTGCGAAATTTGCCCAGTACAGGGCTCCTCCATAATTAAGTTTGGAAACAGGGGTTTCTCACTACGTAGGAATTTCAGTACTGCGCTATATAAGCAGATCCGATCTATTCACCAGTCGTCGTTAAAACCGAGAAGAAGAGACGAGGCCAAAGAAGAAAACAAATCCTAAAACCAAGCCATGGGACTGCAGGTACACGGCTCATCACTCTCTAAATCGCCATTATCTGTTACTCGTTTGTTAAAGATCAAATCTTTATTCATCTGATGATCTCCAAGATTTGTTCGTTCTTTCCGTTTGGTTCTGAATCTTCGGTTCCGTTTAGATTCTTGCACTGTAACCCACAGTAGTGTCGATACGAGCTTGGTTAGATTGTCCAGATAAACGATCTAGACTTGGAATCCGGTACTGCATGGTCTTAATTTCCGTCTAGATTTGTATGCGTAGCCAAGATCTGGTGGGTTCAGTCAGACTGGTTGGCTCTTTGCAGCACTTGGAATTGTAGATGCATGCTGTACCCTTTAGGTTCATGCTTAGAGGGGACCCAATGCTTTTGCGCTGCCCTGACTCCCGAGCGGTTCATCATACCTTTGGATGTAAGATAGGAAATTCCCTGTTTGTTTTAAGTATTTTGCGATATCTCGGATTTCTATACAAAATTCTATAAAGAAATAGAGTGGCGAAGCGTGTGGTTCAAAGACTTGATTTCTTAAAACGATTTATTACATGAAAGATTTACCTTGTCAAATAATTTAGCCTAGTATTGCAATCGTGGCCCCAAGGAACATGACATATGAGCTGTATCTCTGTTGCAGGAGGAATTTGAGGAGTATGCTGAGAAGGCAAAGACCTTGCCTGAGAACACAAGCAATGAGAACAAGCTGATCCTCTACGGACTCTACAAGCAAGCCACTGTTGGAAATGTGAATACCGGTTAGTATGTAATCACACAGCTACTTTTGTTCTCTTTTTTCCAGTTCCCTTTGTAAGTTTGCAGTGTGGATGAAGCTCTTGGTTTGCAGAATCCCAATTTAAATGTCATGGCTCAATACTATTCCTAGCCTGGATACTGTTTAACTTTGTGTCATAATACGAATTCCCTAAAAGTTTGACGATTTGCTTCCCCTATATAAATTAAAATAAACAGCAGGCCCTGGCATTTTATACTTTCAAAGTTTACCAATTTAGAAATCCAAACAGTGGTGAATATGTATTGTGAATTTGTGGTACTTTACATGATAAGAGTATAAAATAGGGGGAAATCCTAAGAATATAAAATACGGGCAAAATCCTAGTAAGCAAACAAAACAGTATTATAAAGAATAAGATGAACCTATTTACTGTAGTATCTTTTTATTTCTTCACAAGTTTGGACAACAAATTTTGACCATGGTTCTGGGATTTGTTTATGTAGTACATAACAACAGAAGTTTAGCAATAATGGACCAGGGATGTATTAGATGTTGACCAACCTCTTGGGTTTCAACCAATACTGAAATGTAGTTTTCTATGCTCTGTCCTGCAACATCTATTTACTGATGAAATTTGCTTCACCTAGATGCAGATGAATGATAAATTCAAGTTCATAGGGCTAGGCAGAGTAACTGAACATGCAGTTAACAAAAATGTAATGTTTGTAGCATTATATACTTCAAAGCACTCTTGCTTTTTCTTTCATATATCTCACTTGTAATTAAGTCATAATTATGCTCTGCTTGCGCCATGCTAAATGAACTTCTAGTGTGTTTGACATTAGAATCTAGCCAGTTGACTTTAACTCATGGGATCATGATATTCTCTTGAAGCACGTCTGTATATCTTTTGTGTTTACAATAGTATAGTTTTTTTTTCAACACAACTGTGCTTACATGTTTGTTGGTTAATAAACTTTTGAAGATCGTCCTGGCATATTCTACCAGAAGGACAGGGCCAAGTGGGATGCCTGGAAGGCTGTTGAAGGTTCATACACTTATCTGATCGTTGTATTTTGGGCAGCTTATATATTTTTCTTGTTTACCACAATCCTAGTGTTCTACATGTATTCATCTATTCCAGTAGTATTACAAGATGTTATAGTACTTGCTAAAACTTTTGTGATCTTGATAGGCAAATCGAAAGAAGAGGCAATGAGTGACTACATCACCAAGGTGAAGCAGCTCCAGGAGGAGGCTGCCACTTCTTAAAGTCTCTTAATAGTTGCCAAACAGCTATTGTCAGCTGAGCTTATGCCATTTGTTCATGAGAAATAGATCATTTGATCCACTGGGGATCTGTGAACTATGTACCTGTTTATGTAACTGGTTACCAATGTTATCCATCTATCTGTGAAGACTTTGTAGTCTTCTAAATTATGATATATGTCTGTGTGATACTGAGGCTGTGTTTCAATTAACTTCTAGAAAGTGCTTCTGCTGTCAAAAAGCGGAAAGTCAACCAAGTGGATAGAACCCGAAGCTGATTTTTTTCAGAAACCTGACAGCCTGTTAAACAGTGTTTTGCTCACAAAAGCGATCGTAAATTTTTAGCCGGGAACAGTGTTTTTCTCTCACACCAAACCAGCCAGCAGTAAATAATCCACGATACGAGATGGGTAAGTTCACATAGCTCACAGTAGCAACTTGCTTTTCCAACCACACTCTGAGTTGCACATAACACTGGTTTGCAAATCAGTTTGTATCTGAGATAAATCAGTCGGTATGTATAAGTTTGAAGTTAAAATTACAACAGCAAAATTAATTATACATTAGGCAAATAGACTGTAATGATCATATACTTCTTTCTATATATATGCTCCCCATCATATGGCACGTTATAAGGCAAGAAACAAGACTGCCTGGAAAATAAAAATAAAAAGCATGCTGAGAACTCAGGGGTATCCATATCCCCAGACTTTGCCGCCGGAGAAGAGATTGAGGCAGAGCACGCACGCAACCAGCAGCACACCTGGGATCCACCAGCCGCTGCCGCCGTCGGAGAACATGGCGCACAGCACCAGGCACAGCAGCAGCAGCATGAAGAACCCCAGCCCGGCGCCCCCTCCGCCGCTCGAGTCGCCGCCGAAACCACCGCCGTACCCGTACCCATAGCCGTAGCCGTACCCTCTGTCTGGCCGGTAGTAGTATATGCCAGCAAAGTAGACCACCACCAGAAGCAGGAGAGCGGTGAGCACGATGTTCTGGATGAGGAACATGATCACCACCAGCACCACCGGCACCAGCACCACCTCGCTCCGGTTGCCGGCCACGGCCAAGGCGAGCAGTAGCGCTGCGGCGCCGAGGGCGAGGACCAGGAGCACGGCGTTGTCCGTCACCGTCTCCTGCAACTCCGTCACCGTCTCGTACCACTCCATCAGGGTCTCTTGGTAGATGACCCATCCCAGCGCCACCACGACGAGGAGCGGCACCACCGGCGACGGCCCCCGGCTCGCCGCCCACGATGGCGGCCCGCCTGGGCTTCCCCAGTAGCTCATGATCACCTCTACAGTTCTACTGAGATATGTATCTGAAGATAATTTCCTCTTTTTTTTTTTTTTTGCTGTTCTAAGTAGCAGCAGACTGCTTGTTGCAAATGGCAATGCAGGCCTAACAAGTTCCTGGTATATATATGGATTCATGCTCATCTTGTTCCAACTAATTTTTAACCACCTGCTTCTGCTTTTGTATGTGTAATGCTGATGTATGTCTGTCTGGAGTGTGGGTAGGGCAGGAGCCCAACTTTGATCTGGTAGATGAGCTGATCCCAGAGAAAGATGACACTGAAGACAAGGACTTGCAGGTCAGGTCATTCTCATGCTTAAATCACAATCACAAACTAATTGAACTAGGGTTTAGTGAAGAAAATATTCTTTTTATCGACTCCATTAAGACTTAAAAGCCGGTTGAGTAAGCTGAAAATGATGGCTGATATCATGAGCTGGGCCATGGATCACTTCAACCACAAAAACTGTCAACCCATAGTGGGAGTAGTTATGGGTCTCAGTACAACTCTTATTGTAATAGATAAAAGATAAGGTACTGGCAAAGCTTATGTTACCGGTCACGAGCCAAAATTACAATTTGTTCAGATTGACCACAAAGTTCAGTGAATATAGCACATTGGTTTCTACAGGTCATAAAAAAAGGATGCTTCTGTATGATTCTAGAATCTGTGCATGACATGATTCCTGTATCTTTGATCTTTGAAGTTTGGATTGGAACCTGAGTGGTAGAAACTTTTTGTGACAAAATCTCTATGCTGATGAGAGCAGCATTGACAATCGAAGCATTTCTGAAAAGCGTGCTGCCTTTCGGTAATAAAATTGAGTAACTGTATAACCAATAGTGCATGAAAATTAGACAAGCCATTAGCCTCAAATAATGTATATTTCCTTTCCCTTTTATGTATATGACTCGGAATGTTTTGTGAGATGGAGTACAGCAGCAGTCAGCTCAGCTTCTTGTGCACAGCAAAAATTCGTTCTGAAGAATGAGCAGCCTATTGCAGGCCATACACAAGCAGAGCCCCTACTCCGGCGATGCCGATTACAAAACTTATGATCACTGCAATAGGCGGCAGCGCACCGCCGATGGCCTTCCCAGTGGCAGCATCGTACCTTGCAAATCGCTTCTTTGGCGCATTGCATTGTGGGCAACCATATTCATCAGGCTGCAGCCATACAGAAAATGGTTAAACTTCATCAGACGAATACTAAAATACAGTACTTAATTAGATATAAACAGAAAAGGTAAACACTAATTCTGTAATTGATTTAGAGAGAGAGATGCATTGCTTACCTGTTCTTCAAAAGGCTTGGGTAGGAAGTATATGAATCCACAATCAAGGCAGATGTGTGTTGCTCTCTCCTGAAAAAGGGACATTTGCAGTTTATAAAATACATGCAGAGGCTTCAAGTTGAGAAAAAAAAAAGCCATGGTTATGCTGATCCTGCCTTTTGTGCATCAGTCAACTTCCGTCCAAACCGAGGCGGTGCCGGCCTCTTAGGTAGGCGCTTCACATCAACTTCGGCACCCCTGAGATCACTCAGATGAGATTTGGGGGAAGTATAATCATTTCACTAAATTTAGCAATATTAAATCATAATCCCTAACCATGTAGCCAGGATAATCCAAGGGATCAAGTGTGTACCTGCTCACGACAAAGTAGACGGAGTCTGGCTTTGCTTGGATGGCTGTCTTGGTGAACCCAAGCTTATCTGCAGGCCACAGCTCATCTCCAAAGAAGCTACTTGTGTACAAGACCTGGTCGCCGGCTCTCAGACCAGCTTGTGCCGCATTCCCTCCAGACTCCACAGACTAATAATCCCATGCCGAAGAAACAAATCAATCATAGTTACTGTTTGCAATACTTGCCTCCAGATTCAGAGAATCATACTGAAGTGAAAAATGTTGTTTACATAGAAGCAATTAACAATTGGATCTTCAGCTTCAAATCATGACTAGTGCGAGAATTTTGAATTCAGTGAAGCAAGGTGACTAGTATATTTATGAAACATCAGTTCGTGGCTGAAATCTGCATTCCAGGATCATGCCGGGAGACAAGGACGGGAAGTAGCCAATTGACAGTGAGATAATGGAAGGGGTGAATAAATTTGAAGAGGAAGATCAAATAATTTGGAACTTTAGCTCTAATGGTAAATACTCAGTACAATCTTTGTATGCGGTGATCAGTCATAGAGGAGTTATACCGGTGTCTGTCCATGCTGTTTGGAAAATTAATATTCCACCTCGGATTCAGATTTTTTTGTGGTTGTTAACTAAGAACAAGTTACTTACTAGGGATAATTTGGCCAAGAGAAGAGAGGTCTTGGACCAGTCTTATCTTTTCTGTAGTGAGAGGGAGTCTATTTGTGATCTGTTTTTTGATTGTAGTGTGGCCAAATGTTGCTGGAGTACTATTTCCGAACTTCTAAATTCCAGGGAAGTGGTAAATTTTGAGCATGTGCCCACTAGATGGGTTGCTAGTAAAAAGCATGAACTGTACAATATCATTAGTTCAGCGGTTTTATGGTGTCTGTGGAAATTTCGTAATTTGGTTAGGCGAGAGAAGTATCTTACTGATGATTGTCAAGATGTTGGGGACATGGACACCGATGTACAGCCAGGATCTAGGCAGGAGAGTGGAAAGCTTTTGTCCAACAATTGCAAAACCAGGCTACTCGACTGCCAAGAATCGACTGGCAGGGTGGGGCTCTGAACTGCTCAAGACTGGGATCCCCGGCTGCTCTGCGTTTGGGACGGGGCTGTTTGGATGGTCCTCATCAGTCATCACACGAATGAACACTTGATGGTGACCCAAAGTAATCAAAATGTATTCGAGTAGTGGTGCTGTTGGCTTTGTGGCGGGCGCGCCAATTCGCTGGAACTTAACTGTCTTGAACGCTTTATGATCAATAAAGCGGGGGGACCTTTCTCTGAAGAAAAAACAAGGACAGGAAGCAATGAAAACGCAAGTGAAGAGGACTAACAGCGATGACGACGCCACCGCCGGGCTTCTGGCCCAAGGCTAACCCAAGCGGCTTGTCGACCTCCACCTCGATGTTCTTGGCGGCGGTCCTCGCGTTCACCTGCAGCAGCCTCCGCCGCCCGCCGCTGCCTCTCCGGTGGCCGGCCGCGCACCTCCTGTCCACCAGCGACACCCCATGGAAGGCAGTCTTCTGCACCATGCATACGAACATCAGCGATCACATGAAACAAACCACAGAAATAAACAGCAAGAACGGACGCATCCCTACTCACAGTTGATGCAGAGATGATGGAAGGAGGCGCCTGCTGCTGAGCTCTGATAATGGAGCCGTGCTTGGGAAGGGAAGGGGCAGCCACGGAGGAGAACGTGGCAGCCATGGTGAGGGGCTGCGAGGATGGCGGCAGGTGGAGGTGTGGGGCTGCCGAGGTGGAGGAAGGGGATGGCTGCTGGCTGCCATTTGGATGGATGGAGATGCTGTGGTGTGCTGCCTGTGGCTAAGGCAACAGTGGTGCTCATGGCCTCTGGTCGTGTGGAAACTGTGCGGCTGACACTGACTTGTCGGGACACAGTGTGCACTTGCCCATTTCTTTTTTCCTGTTGGCACGAGGTGACATTGCCGTTAAGTAACCAAAATGATACTGGAACATGATGGATCTAAGAAAGGAATATATCCAAAGTAGAGACGATGTTTTTATTGCACGATACATAACATTCACAAGCAATTCTTAATCATCACAGAAGAACATCCAGGCTGATCCATGAATCACATGTTCACATGTCATCCAATCTAACATCTAACACACCCCTAGACAAAGATGTCCTTTGACACCAGTGAACCGTCATGACACAGATTCAAAGGTTATTGTTGTTCAGGAGCGCAGAGCGCCAGTGAACCGTCAGGAGACAGATTCAGGGAGATAGTTTCAGGAGTGTGCAGTTCCACTGCGTCACCTGTAAGAAAACATCCAAGAGATCCAATCAAACTGAGACGAGTAATATGAAAAAACAGATGGTACAATTTGGAGGGTGGGTGGGTTGGAGGGCCAGCAAACCTTATTGAGGAGATCGCTTGCAGCAGTTGAATCCTCCCCTATCTTCAGGAGTTCAATTCGAGCTTTCATGGCATTGTTACTTTCTTCAACCTATGTTTTCGTGAACAGGAAACAACTTACGAACAGTATTTAATATCTTTACCCAAACAACTTACTAACAATGTTTAATATCTTTACCCAGACAGATTTACTTAGCACAAAGATACTACATCTGACCGCATCTTGTAACATTTTTATCAATGAAAATTGATCTGCAGGGTAGCTTCCCTATGCAAATAATATAAGTCTAACAGCAGTCATCTTGCCATTTGACTTGTAGCAGAAATCAACCAAAAAGATTTTAAATTTCTTTTAAAAAATAAAAAGTTACAGAACCATGCTGATATGCATATTTGCACAAGGAAGATACCTCCTAGCTTCAACAAATGGCCACAAAGGCTCAAACCTCAATGTGATACTAATCAATATATGGTTGCAACTCAAGAGTGTGATGGCCTCACATTCATCCTATGTTCTTGTGAGAAAAATGACTACCTTGTCGAGTGATCTTTCTTGTCAATGGTAGGGCATAAAAGGCCCAGCTTTGATAATAAACTAAGGGCTTGTTTGGATAAAACCAATCCCTTCCTACCAGTACATGTGGATTGGAGTGGAAAATAAACTAATTTCCCCCTTAATCCCTCCCAATATGTATGGATTGAAGGGGGTTATTCATGCAAGTAAGGACTGAACTTTTAAGATGGAAAAACTGTACAGACAATTAGATCATTCATAGCGGGAGCTTGGACCACGAAAATTCATGTTCTTTAACAATTTGGAAAGCCTGTAAAATACCACCCTACATCTTTCTAGTTATCTTAAGAGACTGGTTTGGCAGTTAACATGGCCCAAAATCGAATGGACCAATAACTGCACAGAATATGGTCAGCACATGATAGGCAACTTCTAAAATCCATATCTCCCAAACCTGCTGGGCTAAAATCATGGAATTTCATAACAGTAAAGATGTCTAGATCCCCTATAATTTTTGTATTATCAAGTTTAGGAGGAAAAGCCGTTTCATAGAAGAAATTGTCACCCAATTCAGAACAAGGCAAACTGAAATTTCAGCATCCAAGCTAAATGTTCTCTATTTTTCTTTATTGGTTTTCCCAACCACATAGCACTATAATGCCACTCAATATGCTTAGTGAGCAGGAAACTTCACAAGGAAATTTGTACCTATGGATTCATCATTCATGCCAACCACTAAGTTATTCTCAGAATTTATTCAGGCTTCATTATCGTAATGCAAACACCCAGGGAAGTCATTATTCAACATATTTCCTACATAGAAGCATCTTTCTCATATAGTGTGCAACCATACAACTTTAACCAAATTGACACCCTTTTTCGAAAAAAAAACAAATTGACTCCCTAGATCAATGAGCTCATATAAAGCCTTGGTGCATCATGGAGGGGACTAGCTGCTACACAAACACGCCCTAAGCTGTACTAATCTACCCCAAATTCAAGTAACAATTATTAACACTAGATAGGACATGCTAAACGGAACCGGTTAAGTTGGGTTAGCAATTCTTGGAGCAAGAGAGAACTAATTATTCAATTTACCGAGTAAACACAACAACTCTAGACGATTACATGGCCACCCAAAGGGCTCACATAAAGCACATAGAGGACAATGTCATGGAACTAACAAATTCGACTCTCATTATTCAGATTTTCATTCATTTATGTAGGACTGTCACACTCATGCATGCCCAAACACCCCGCATCCGCATGTATCGTTCTCCAGTTTTCCCTACAGTCGCATTGGGGGCTGTACACATGGTTCAACCGGCCGTGAATCAAGGCCGCCTAAGCCTAAGTTTGCCACACCCATAGTCTGCAAAACCGATTCAATACCTTTTTCAGTAAACCAGTCAAATGTTCGATTTCATCCTTCTTTGCTCTTGATATTTTTTCTTCAATTTCTTCAACAGTAGTCCTGAAATCAAATGAACTATATTGGGTAACTTTAAACAGAAACAAGTGAAGAAAAAGGTATGCTAAATTTCACAAAGGAATATCTTCATGTACTTATATACTAGTTCTCAAACATAAAAGTGAGGGCATTGGATGCATCATAACCATCACAGCCTAGTATTAAAAACCCTGAAATTAAAAAAGGGGGGGTCACTCAATGTAAAACATAATTCACTTACTTCTCTGAAGATAATGCATCCAAATTTTGCTCTTCAACAAAGTCATCTATCTTGTCAAGGGCAGCAGCCACCTAAAATAATGAAACGATGTTGTTACACCTGAGAAAACGTAGTACCTTCTACCAAGCACTACAAAAGCGCAAAGGAGTATTACATAAAGTGGGCCTTAATATACCAGGGATATGTTAAACTGTTAAAACTTAATTACTTGTTTTCTAGAGATAATAAGGGTACGCCCTTTTGTTTTAATTCAAGGTGTCCCTAATGGCCAAGTTTTCATGAAACCATATCATTGTGAATTGATGGATATTAACTAGCAGCCCATGGTCAAAATCACGTTAAAATTGTCTGCCTCATTTTCTCCATATCATGTTCATCTCTACTGTTGTCCCAGACATAATTCAAAGCCCAATAACCCATTCACTTTCATGTCTGGTCTGTTAGAAACCAGAAAACACCAGGTGCACATCCATACTGCTTTACATTGATGAGAAATCATTCTACTACACATGTTTCTCTGTTAAATCACAAGAATGGTTGTAAGGGTTTGGGAGAGCTCCAGGCCCAAAAATCTCCTGAGTTGTTTGTTTGAGCTGTTTTCCTTCTATTATTGACGAAAACTGTCTTAAGATTCTTGATTTAAGCATAAAAACTCCAGATGTAAGATGGAGCAGCACTTCTAAACATCGCCTATGAACATATGAAAGAAATTAAGAGACAGGAAGAAAAAAAATGGAGGGTAGCACTTGTAAGACTGTTGAAGTTCGAGGTTGATGAAACCCCCGTTACCTGTCTGCATTCAAAGGTCCGCACAAACTTCTTAAGGGCAAAATCTGGGGACTGTCGCCCCCTCGTCAGAGTCTTTTCTTAGAAAGACAAGAAAATACAAAGGAATGGAGGGGCACAGGCTAAGCCTATTAAGTGATGTGCAGCCACTACTTGCTGATTACTTGATTGACAAAACTCTGATTACTTGACTGACAAAACCAGTTGCTGAAGGCTGAACTTCTAAATGATAATATTTTGTCGTTATAGCAGTAGATGCAGAGGATAAGATACATTTAAATTATGGATTTAACAACATATAGTACAGTTTCACCCCCTTCATGAATGATACTCTCATATACTTTGTGGTGAAGTACAACCAAATTGCAACCAGTCCAACCCATTGAATTTAAAGGAATTCCCATAGTATTTGGTGGGTAAGAGCTCCTTTTATATTTATAGTGCTGCTACAGCTATAAGTATGAATTTAAACAATATCTAAATGGTAATATGTCTCACTGAGTTGAACTGTTAATTAATCAGAAAAATACTTTGTTGAAAATCCACAAATTGTGATGAAAATCTGTCAACGTGTTTGGGAAAATACTGATTTCAAAGTTACCTGTGTTTCTTGGCAGAAGTCGTTAAACTCATCCTGCAATAAGAAGAGAAAACAAATTATAACATATTGGGTTCAATACAATGCATGCACATGCAAAGGAAGGAAGACAAATATAAACTAACTGCATCAGGCTTGGCAAACAGAACAGAAAAGATATCAGTTTTGTAATTTAAGAATGCATGCTTCTATATTAGATACAAGTGGTAAACCGTGCAAGTGAGGCAGCAGAAAACATAGTGAGAGACAGGCAGAAAGGCATTGTATAATAACATAACCCTTAGCACAGGTTTTGTTTCTAATCTACGGAATGTCCTCATTGCTAGTAAAGTAGTAAGCTAGGAATGTAATGCCACTACAAAAGGGAGGTGTAGTTAAGAAATCAATGGTAGAATGGCATGTATTTGAACAAAATCTGAATGCTAAACTGATATTATTCAGGAATTGGACCCTTCAGGAACAAAAAACTGTACCATTATGTTGGCATGCGTATTCTTCATCACCTGAAAAAAAAACACAAAAATGGATTAATCTACATGAGTCACACACAGACACTCACACTAGCCGGATGTAGAACTGAACTTTTGACCGCAAAAAAATAGAACTGAACTTTGCGCGGCATTCAAATTTGTAGGTATCGCAAGGATGAAATAAATAAGTTCATTGCACATCGTAACTATTGGACAGGGCATAGATCAGGACACTCACGAGGGTGAGCATTCGGTGCAGACGCTCCT